ATGTTATAATTCTAACACTGTGGTATGGAACTTGGGGATATTTTATTTTATTTTATTTTTGAACTTGTGGATATTTTAATAGTTTGTTTTTATCTTCTCATTAAGTTATGTTAAAATATTTTCGTTGTATATCAGATACGTATTAGCATTTGTCTTTTAGTACTATGTGGCCATAAGTTGTAAGTGATGAATGTGATATTTAATGAAAAATATAGAAAAAAAATATCATCTAGGTAAAAAGTATAAAACTGATGAGAATAAGTATTACTAAATCATTAACAGAACTCAAATAATTGCTAATGTCTGATAAAATTTTCTTTTTATCTCAATAAGTAACTTAGAACTGAAAGCATTTTATTTTTTTTAAAGTTATTTATTTACTTATTCACAGAGACAGAGAGAGAGAGAGGCAGAGACACAGCAGAGGAAGAAGCAGGCTCCATGCAGGGAGCCTGACGTGGGACTCGATCCAGGGTCTCCAGGATCACGCCCCGGGCTGCAGGCGGCGCCAAACCGCTGCGCCACCGGGGCTGCCCTGGAAGCATTTTAATATTAAGTAAAAACATGGTAACACAAAGTGTATATTTGAACAAGCAGAGGAAATTAATGGCAAAATACAGTCACAGAATTTCGACTTACAGTTATTTTAGACATGATTAAGAGATGCAAAATAAAGAACCACGTGAGGAGAGAGAAACTAGACAGTCTGATAGAGGCCTCTTTAAACTGGCAAATTCTAAGAGTCTGTGAGAAACTATCCATCAGAAACTCAGGCTCAGGTGGCTTTAATACATTTCTCCTCAAGAAATTGAAAGTAATGAAGAAGCGTATGTTCTCAAATAACAAAGACGGAGAGCCATTTTGTAGTGAGATTTTCTTCACAAATAAGGGAAAAGGCAAGGGTAATACTGGGGATAAAAGAATTTGGAGAGAAAAGATCATAGAGTCTACATACATATAAGAGCAGAATGTTAGGTTTTTCCTTTGATCTCTCAAATATTAAGTAATGACAGTGGTGTAGGCCCTGACATGGGCTCTCGCCTCCCGGTCCCCCTGCCAGGACACCTGCCAGCATCCCACCCGCCACCCCGCGACCCCGCGACCCCGCGACTCGGAGCTCCCTGCACTGCACCCGGCGGCCGGCAGGGGGCGCGCCGTCCCGCGGCCACGTGGCGCGCATGCGCACCGCGTCCCAGCCCTCGCCGGCGCGAGAGCCGGAGCCACGTTCCCCGGGGACCGGGACCGACCGCTGCGGACCAGGACCGGGGCGGGCGCCTGCGGTGGGTGACGTCCGCGAGCGCCCCGACCGGCCGCCGAGGGCGGGCCTTCGTCCGCAGGGAGGGAGGACTGGGTCTCGGCCGCCGCACGTGCTCCCTCGCGCCCTCCCGTGTGGCGTCGGGCCGGGTCGGGGGCGGCGGCGCCTGTCCGTGCAGGGCCCCGCGGCGAGGGGGTAGCGGGCTGCGCCCATGTGTGTGCGTTCGGGGGGTTTGGTCGCGTCGGCGGCCGGTGGGGGGGCGGGGGGACCGGACCCTAGTGCGGCAGCCGTGAGACGGAACCGCGTGGGCGGTGGCGCGGGAGGGCCCCGGAAGTCGGGGTGTTGGGGCGACCCGGCGGCGGGCGGAAGGGGCCGTGCGTGCGTCGCTGCGCTCCCGGCTCGGGGGTCGTCGCCGTGGCGGGCGGGGCGTCGCGGGAAGCGGGAGCGGCGAGGCGGTGCTGGAAGGCGGGAAGGCAGGTGTGCGGAAGGCCGCGGCCGCGTGGGGACCGTCAGCGTCTGATTCGGGGCCGAGTCAGTTGAGTAGGGTGTGCGCCCCCAGGCCGCGGGGGCGTGGCGTGTGTGTGGAGCGCGGCCTGTCGGGGCCTGCGGGAGGGATCCCCGCGCCGCCGTCCCTGTGCGCCGGGCGGGTGTGCAGCGCTGCCGGCGACGGTCGACGGTCGGGAGCGGCGCCCCAGGGACCCGGACGGGACCCTCGCAGCTAGGTTCCCGGCAGGGCGGAAGCCGGGACTCGGAGGCGTGGCGGGGCTCCCGGCCGTGCTCCCTGCTGAGCTCCGGGTGGTGCTCCCGGCGGTGCTCCTGGTGGTGCTCCCGGCATTGCTCCCGATCATGCTCCCGGCGGTGCTCTCAGCGATGCTCCTGCTCGTGTTCCCTGTGGTGCTCCCGGCGGTGCTCCTGGTGGTGCTCCCGGCGGTGCTCCTGGTGGTGCTCCCGGCATTGCTCCCGACCGAGCTCCCGGCGGTGCTCCGGCGGTGCTCCCGGCGATGCTCCTGGTGGTGCTCCCGGCATTGCTCCCGACCGAGCTCCCAGCGGTGCTCCCGACGAGCTCCGGCGGTGCTCCCGGCGATGCTCCCGACCGAGCTCCGCGGCTCCGGGGTGCTCCCGATCATGCTCCCGGCGGTGCTCTCAGCGATGCTCCTGCTCGTGTTCCCTGTGGTGCTCCCGACCAAGCTCCTGGCGGTGCTCCTGGTGCTGCTCCCGGTGGTGCTCCCGACCAAGCTCCTGGTGGTGCCCCCGATCATGCTCCCGGCGGTGCTCTCAGCGATGCTCCTGCTCGTGTTCCCTGTGGTGCTCCCGGCGGTGCTCCTGGTGGTGCTCCCGGCGGGGCTCCTGACCAAGCTCCTGGTGCTCCCGGTCGTGCTCCCGGCGGTGCTCCTGGTCGTGTTCCCGATGGTGCTCCCGGCTGTGCCCCCAGCCAAGCACCTGGTGGTGCTCCTGACCGTACTCCCAGGGTGCTTCCAGCCAAGCACTGGGGGGTGCTCCCAGCCAAGCTCCCGGTAGTGCTCCCTGCCCTGCTTCCAGTACTGCTCCCAGCTGTGCCCCCTACCGTGTTCCTGGCCGTGCTTCTGGCAGTGCTTCCACTGGTGCTCCTGGCTGAGCTCCCGGCTGTGCTCCTGATAGTGCTCCCGGTGATGCTCCCGGCTGTGCCCCCTACCGTGCTCCTGGCAGTGCTTCCAGCGGTGCCCCAGCTGAGCTCCCAGCCATGCTCCCAGTTGTACTCTCAACGGTGCTCCCAGTAGTGCTCCTGGTGGTACTCCCCCGGTGATACTCCCGGTGGTGTTTCCAGCGGTGCTCCCATTGGTGTTCTCGGCAGTGCTCCTGGCAGTGCTCCCGGCCATGTTCCCGGCGGTGCTCCCGGTGAGGGTGCGAGCCTTCACATTGGCTTACTTATCGCAAAGATGCCCTGTGACGTCTACATTCTCCATCTTCTGTTAAAACACGTTCTGCTTCTACTCAAATGACTTCTAAATTATGGCTCAAGTACCGTGAAAGGTCCTAATATTTTATCATTTTTAAAAAATATTTTTTTGGTATTTTATTTTTATTTATGGGGAGGAGGGGAAGGAGCAGAGGGAGAGGGACAAGCAGACTCAACGCTGAGCACAGAGCCAGATCTGACTCCAAGGTCATGATCTGAGCTGAAACCAAGAGTCCGAGGCTTAACCAGCTTCACCACTTGGGTCCCCCAGGGGTCCTAATTTTATCATTTTTAAAATATGCATGCTAAGACTTATTTTTATTTATGGAGGGGAGGAGAAGGAGCAGAGGGAGAGGGAAAAACAGACTTAGGGCTGAGTGCAGAGCCCCATCTTATGACCCCAAGGTCATGACCTGAGCTGAAACTAAGAGTCCGAGGCTTAACCAGTTTCACCACCCAGGTCCCTGAGGGGTCCTAATGTTTTTAAAATCTTTATGGTCTTGACTTAGAGCCCATAAGACATAGATGAATGTCCTCGGAGAGATGCAGGGTGGCTTGGCTTTTTCGATTGTGTCAAAACATGCATGACCCTCAAAGTGTTCTGTTTCTTGACTATATTCTAGGTTTGAGAAGAAACAGGTCTTCTCTCATGCCCAGCCCCCTTTTTAATTTCAGAAATGTCACCAGTGTGTTCTAGATCAGTGTTTTTAAAAAAAAAAAAAAAACAAGTTCAAATATGGCAACAAGAGAGGAACTAAGGCTCAAAGGTGCTCGCTCGGTAGGAAGGCATTAGTGAAGAGCAGCTTCCTGAATTAGCTACTTCTCACAGCAGCTATGGATCAGCTGTGCATCCTCTGAGCCCAGGGAATGGGGAAGACTTGTCTCTTAGGTGCCAGCAACATCCAGGAGGGGTCTGCAGAAGAGCTTTTGAGGTGAAAAGGGGGCTTCCCAGGCTTGCAAAAATAACCTGTTCTGACTAGTAAGGAGAAAACGATACATTTTGAGATTAGAAATTTAATCAAAGACAAGTAGTTAGAGATGAGCCAAAACTAAAACTCATTTTTTTGCCTTCCTCTGACACCTTTTTTTTTTACTAAATAGGGTAAAAATATATTGATTTCAGATGTACAATATAATTTGATATCTGTATATATTGCAAAATGATCACGTAGTTGCAGATTTTTTTCTATAATGATAATTTTTCTCTTAGGAGAGGCAGAGGGATAGAGAGAATCTTAAGCAGGGCCCACCCCCAGCACAGAGCCAGATGTGGGGCTGTCTTACAACACTGAGATCATGACCGGAGCCAAAATTAAGAGTTAATTGTTCAACCACATGGTTTTATTGCAGATAGTCTTGTCAATAAAGAAAGGAGCAAAGAAATACATAAATTACATACATAATTCATACATAATTTCTTAGTGAGAAATTAGATGAATAATCTGAAGAAAAAAAAGTGAGGTTCTACTCAAGGCAACGAGGTGAGAAGGAACAACCTAGGTAATCATTTAAAGGAGGGATCTTTGAAGTATGGCACTTAATCTCAGACTGAAACTTGATGAGTATAAAGTGGCCATATATGTGTAGATATCAGGGAGGAAATGAAAGATAATAGTGGTAAGTGTAGAGATTACAGTACTGCTTAATTGCATGGTTTTGAAAAGTAATGTCAAAGATTAATCCTTGGACATCTGGTGGAACCATTATCAGACTTGAAAGACCAGAAGGGAATAACTTTTTATTGTGGAAGAAGAGTTAATGGCTTTGTTTTGAAACCTCTTTCCTTTTACATGCAGGTGGAGATTCCAGTACAAATCGAATCTAGGTATGTTTTTAGTTATGGTTTACAGTGGAAAAAATAGAAGCAAGTGAGTGTAGTGAGATTTCCAAGGTAATCTTTTGTAAGAGGAGATAAAAGAGGTACAATTGGGGGCACTTCAGTGACTCAGTGGTTGAGCATCTGCCTTTGGCTCAGGTCATGATCCTGGAATCAAGTCCCACATCAAGGATCTCCCTACCCCTCCACCCTATGGGGAGCCTGCTTCTCCCTCTGCCTATGTCTCTGCCTGTCTCTTTCTCTGTGTCTCTCATGAATAGATGGATAAAATCTTTTTTGAAAAAAAAAAGGTATAATTGAACCTTGAGGGACATCCCAGGTGGCTCAGCAGTTTAGTGCTGCTTTCAGCCCAGGGTCTGATCCTGGGGACCCAGGATCGAGTCCCATGTCAGGTTCCCTGCATGGATCCGGCTTCTCCCTCTGTCTGTCTGTCTGTCTCTCTCTCTCTCTCTCTCTGTATCTCATGAATAAATAAATAAAATATTTTTAAAAAATTGAACCTTGAGATCTATCAACTGTTGTTTGAGGAGGGCCTTGCAAAGAACTCCTGGAAGGAGTGATTAGACTTTTTGAAAGGCAATTGCAAAACTGATCTATAGGAAAAGCCTACAGGAAAAAAGTTCCCAAATGAATATCATGTGCCAATACTGCTTTGGCTCCAAGTAAAAGGCCAAGAAACACTCGCTGTATTTAATTATGGGGAAATAACTAATCTTAACAAGATTTATTAATGTGGAAGTTGTAAGTGGTTTTTGTTACGTCAAAGTGAGGGAATGTGAAGAAATTGTAAATAAGTATGTACTATTCAGGTTCATTTTGAAGGGAAAAAAAACATGTGTTAGCAACTAGATGTAAATTGATTTAGAGCAGGTTTTTCTTAGAAGAATGGAGAGACTAATTGAGTTAAGATGAATGGGGTAAATGATGAAGGGGTTACTGGTAAAAGAAATTTGTCTTAAAATCAATAGCAAAATATTTGAAGGAGGAGGAAAGGAGAAGATAGAATTGGAGAAGCTGGATTTAATTAGGAATAGAGATTACTTTTCAGTTTTTACAAGAGCAGATATACTGATAGGTTGGAAATCAGGAATAATTGTAGGTTTCCTGCCAGGGAGCTGAAGTATTTCTTCAAATTATCAGGGTCATCTCTGTAGTAGGAAGTGAAACCGTTTTTGAAAGCTAAAGGAAAAGGTGAGAAATTGTGAGATTAGAGAACTGGAAAGGCATAGGAAATATTAACTTATTATTGAAGCATAGCAGAGTGATTGTTAAGCCAAAGTAGGATGCCAGATATTTAGAAAAAGCTTTTGGGAGGTTTGTGAGCCTGTAATTAGAACAGCTCAATACCTAATTCTGAGCTGTGACGGTGCAGCCAAGGGAAGGTGAGCTGTTGACATCATCTAAGATTAGCAGATTTTGGGAATGACTAAGGGGCATTAGAATTGTTGGTCTCGGTGTGTATAAGTTGGAATAAGCAAATGTATGTTACGCTGATCAGTAGAAATTAGATGTGCGGGGCAACCCAGGGGCTCAGCGGTTTAGCACCGCCTTCAGCCCAGGGCGTGATCCTGGAGACCTGGGATCAGTCCCACATCAGGCTCCCTGCATGGCGCCTGCTTCTCCCTCTGCCTGTGTCTCTGCCTCTCTCTCTCTCTCTCTCTCTCTCTCTCTCTCTCTCTCTCTCCCTCCCTCCCTCCCTCTCCCTCTCTCCCTCCCTCCCTCCCTCTGTGTGTGTGTGTGTCTGGTGAATAAATAAATAAAATCTTTAAAAAAAATTACATGTGGGGGCTGATTTTGGAAATTAGAGTCCTGAACTGGAGATCTCCCCATAAGAGATCCTAGACATGGGGAGATATTGTAGGAAAGGCTGCAAGGAGGATGTTTTGAGGGAGGAGTCTCTGGTCATGGATCTGACCATGGATCTATAGTCAGGTAAAACTGGTTCTGGTATCTAGTGTCCTTCAAGATGAAATCCTTTAGTTATTTGACAGAGATAGGCAAAACTAATTTTAAATTCTTGCTGTCAGGTTTTAACCATGTAGTTATGTCATAAATAAAATTTTCTGAACTTGTGCAAATTACTTGTTAAATGTGTGAGTAATCCGTAAAAACAGATTATTGAATATTAAGTGGAATGTATGTCAACATGTATATAAACTCTACTCATAGAGTTTAAATTAATATCAGTAGTATTTTTCTTTTTCCAGGTCCTCAAGGTTAGTGGGTTTTAATCATATCCTATTCTTGACATCAGTGTTTGTTGATGCAGTGTATTTATTTATAAACATTGTTTGAGGTAGTGCTGTAGGGGTAACAAATTCTTTTATATACTTAAATTATGAAATGCAGAGATCATCTTGTTGATAAAAATGAGTAGAACTCCAGACCCCAAGAGGTCAATAAATTAACTCTAAAACTAAACCCCTTCCCTCTACATTTTATAAGCCTGTCTTCTCTGTGGGGATTATGCAGCAAGCCCTACTATGTGGTATTATGACATACATCCTCCTGCCTCTTTCCCATGCACGAGGTCGTATGTGCTAACTTGCATGATGAGAATCACTGAATACTCGAGCAGGATTTGGGTCTTTGAAATGTTCCAGCCCACCTTTAAAGAGATGCCATAGTTGCTTGGCCACATATCCAAGGCCATGACATATACAGTCGGGTTGAGGCACTAACACTGCCTGAATCCTACATGTGGAGGAGCCACAGTAACTGAGGGCAGCTGTTGCTTGAGGGAGAACATGGGGCACTCATGAGCTGAGATGGGTGTTGAAAACAATACCAGTGGACCTTACTAAGGATGATAAAATAGGAAATTCCAAAATGCTGTCCTGAGTTATGGATACAAGAATCTCCATGTGACAGGACTCAGGTTCTCCTGAGATTTGGTGTCAGAGATGGAAATAAGTAGAACCTCTAAAGACCAAGTCTAATTAAACTAGACACACCTGTGCTTTTGCTAGCTCTTTAATGGGGATATTATATCTTCTTTACGTGCATAACAGGCAAAGACTTCTTATTGAAGTCTTTGATTCTTGGAGAGGGGAGTCCCCTCCCTGTTTGTCCTTGTTTACTCTGCAGGTACATGTGAGTTGGACTGTGAGGGGGAGATCTGCAGATTGAAGATGGGCATATTTAGGAATATTGGAAAAGACAAGTCTTGTGGGTTCTCTTTCCTCAGCTTCGTCTGCTTAGTTATTGGACTGTCCCTTGGTGAGAATACACAGGAAGAAAGGGGCAACTGAGTTCTAGACAATGCAAGCACAGGTGAGTAGGACTTGCTCTTCCTCATGGATACCTGGTTTGCCAGGGACTGAGCAGATTGTTTGTGCCCCTATGAAATATTATTGCCAGTCACACTTCACCAGGACTCAGGGATGGCTGTGGCAGGTCAGGTTTGATTGAGAAATAATCTGATACCCAGTTTTACTCTACTGTGTTCCCCATCCCTTAAGGATGTCCTTGCAGAAAAGTTATTTCTTCTTATCCATCCCATGATCCCAGCTGAGAAGTGACTCACTCCTTAACCAGCTTAGTATCTGCAGTGGGCTTAGGCCTATCGTGAACACAGGTGACAGAAATGAGAGTAAGTGGGAGCTTACAACCTGTGGGGAAGCAGAGGTTCCTTCAGGTGAGTTTGGTCCATCCAGGGTTTCAGATGCTTCAGAGGAGGGCCCTACAGCATTGAGACTGGAGGTGGGGAGCAAGAGAGAAATGAGGAATCATTGATTTATTTTCTCCAGTTTTTAACTTACTAAAGTTTTTATGGAATATGTTTGAGCACTTTAATAACTTAAAGAAAAATTCTTCTTACCACTCATTCCCAAGTACCGTCTTTGTGAATTTGTCCATTGTTAAAAATTCATTCAAATTTGAAAACAAATGTCTGGTGAGTAATATATTTCTAATTTGGGCTGTACATTGAGAAGGATTATAATAGAATAAAGCCGAGGGTCCTGTAGCAAATTTTGCAGGACTGGAAAGATCAGGTTCAGTTGAGAAGCTTCCATACACATTAGCATATAGACGGGGTGACGTTACAGGAGGGACAGTGATAAGCAATGCTCAGAAGTGCCTGAGAAGATTGAAATGGACAGGCAGGCTAGGACATTCCTTACCTACAGCAGTCTTATGGCCCCTGGGGTTCTGCTTCTGGATTGTACATCTTACGCTTTATCATGAACGTGTGTGCCGTGTAGAGATGAGCGAGGCCTCATTTGCTTATCCATGTCATGTAGGAGCCCCTACTCAGTCCTGCGGAAAGTAGGGCAGTGCCATGTCCCAGGTATTTCCAGCACACCTCATGAGATAATTGTTTATCATGAAGTCATGTTTGCAAAGTGTGTGTATGTTTCTGTGAATATGTGTGAAAGATACATGACAAGGCAACATAGAGAAGCATTGGACTGGGACCCTGGACACAGCATGACCTTTCTGTGTACAGGACTGTCGCGTCCAGTACACTCCCATGGCCCTTAGCAGGGAAGGCCCCAACTGCATCAACATGTCTGATGTTTTAGGAATCAGTGACCTTCAAGGATATAGCTGTAGACTTCACCCAGGAAGAGTGGGCCCTCCTGGACACGTCCCAGAGAAAGCTGTACTGGGATGTGATGCTGGAGAACATCAGTCATCTGGTCTCCGTGGGTGAGTCTGCCAACACTGGTGTAGTTACTCAGCAAGTATCCAGCTTTCTCATATCCCCCTTCCCTCTAAGCCTTTATTCAGATTCTTTCACGGTTCTTAAAACTACTTGAACATTATTTATTTATTTACTGATGTACACATATTTTGTCACCCCAAAATAATATATTCTTTTCCTGACTCCTCCTTCATGTCTGTCCTGCTTTGGGACTTCTGATGCCCAGTAGTGTACTGGAAATTCAGTGAATATTTTAAATGAATGAAAGCACTAAGCATTACTAAGTAACTATTCTGCTCTCCACACTCAACTGGTTAAATACCCATTTATGAAAATAATACCTATTATCTCTTTCTGGAAAGAAATTAATTGTGGTGCAGCTTGTGTGTACTTAGTTTTTTAAAAAGTTAATTTCATGCTACTGTAGGAACAAAAAATTTTTCCTTTGTTAAAAACACTAAGATTCTTTGCTCTATTTTTGACCTGGGTCCTACATATCAGTAACCAGAAAATCTCCCCATGTTGGCCCAGTATCAGGATCTTTTTCCTGCTGTGCTGAAGGACCTTGGTATTTTCAGTGTTCAGAGTGCTCCTCCTTGGGCTCTGCTTCACTGGTCCTTGTTCTTCCTTGGTATCCTACCCTGAGATTAAAGATCATTGATATTTCTCTGCACAGAATCTAAAATTGATATGCCTTTTCCTCCCCACAAACAGGGTATCAACTCTGCAAATCAGATGTGATTTCCCAGTTGGAACAAGGAGTGGAGCTGTGGAGAGAAGGAAGAGGATTTCCCCAAGGCCTGAGTCCAGGTGAGCTCCAGGCTTGTGTATGCACAACACCAGGAAGATCCCGTTATGAGGAGAACAGGATCAGGGACATGTCAGCAGCAGACATCTTATTTCAATCCTGAAAACACTTTATCATTTTCACTTTCCTGAAATACATTTCAGCTCACTGATACATTCCTTCTTTTCACATCTTTCCCTTGTGTAAGGGTCAGTATTTGAAATGCACACAGGCCTTGCATTTTCAACAGTTTCCATGCTCTGGTGCACACTAGCAGTTCGTTTTGTTTATATTATTTCAGATAGGAAAAGTAGTCTTAAGAGACAAGAAGACATCTACAGAAAGGACTCATCTGATTGCATATCAGTGGTAAGTTTTCGGGGGTGAACCCTCCCTTAACAGTAAAGACATGGGCGCTAACAGATTTTAGAATGCAGCACATGACCAATTTCAGTTGGGCATAAACACTCCCCCAGCAGAAAGCTTTGGGTGGTTTTTGAATTTAGGGAGAAAATTAAGGTGTTGCACCAAGCCACTACCTGGATTCTTATAAAAGGACAGCCACATAAACATGGCTCATGCATCTAGTCTTTGAAACTAATGAAATGCTTCATGTAAATCTGATAGTCCTGCAGTTGAGATGTTATGAAAAAGGAAATCTCTTGTAGAAAATAACATGCATGGCATATGTAAATAACAGTGAAGATGTTAACAGGAGATGTTCACTGAATGATCAACATAGGAGTCGTGTAGAGAAAAGAATTAATGAATGTATATGAGAAATTCTTTAACAGCCTCACATCTTCGAACAGCAAAAATTTCACACTGGAAAGGATGCTTATGAATATGATGAATATGGGGAAGTTTTCACTTACAGATCCACAGTGATTCAATGTGTGCTAAGTCACATGGGGAAGGGAACCCTGTACATGTAAGGAACTCCACCAGAGCACTCACCTTTCCATACACAAAAGGACACACACTGGAGAAAAACCCTACAAATGTAATGAATACAGGAAATGCTTCAGCCAGAAGGCTATTGTTTACTCACAGCAAAGAATCCACACAGGAAAGAAACCTTGTAAGTGTAAGGGATGTGGGAAAGGATTTCTTCACAGCACTTAGCTTTATTTATATTAGAGAACTCATACAGGAGAGAAATCCTATAAATGTAATGAATGTAGGAAGGGAGTCCAAAGAACTTACATAGGAGAGAAACCCAATAAATGTAATGAATGTAGGAAAGGAGTCCATCAGAGCCCTCAGCTAGGTATACACCAAAGAACACACACCAGAGAGAAACCCTGTAAATGTAATGAATGTGGGAAACACTTCAACCGAAATGCTATTTTAAAAAAATGCTAATTTACATTCACACATGAGAAGTCACAGGGAGGAAATCCTACATCTGTGATAAATGTGGGAAAAGGTTTCTATCGTTCTTCCTCCTTTAGTCAACATTAAAGAAATCACTCTGAAGAAAAGTCCTAGGAATTTCTTGGCCAAACTCCAGCTTTAAACAGCATGAGCAATTTTATACTTGAGAGGAGCCCAGTATATGAAATCAGTGTGTCCAGAATGCTAGATAAATGTCTTACTTTTCTGTTAAAATAATCACATAGAATGGAAACCATTAGTCTCTGACCTTAGTTCATATGAAAGAACCCATATTCTAAATGTAGGGAAGAACTGACTTCAGACTTTGACACACACCAGAGAGCTCACAGGGGGAGAAATTGTATGTGTACAGTCCTGTGCCTTCACGGTGTGCCAACATTTATCATCTATCCTTAAACACCAAGAGCAAACTCTACAGCAGAGACTACAGGCTCTGTCGAGAGTCCTGAAACCCACACTTCATCAGAGTGTTGGACTTTGCTAAACAATGTAAGATGAAAACAGAGATTTGTGCTGTGATCAGGAATGTTTTGTGAAGGACTTGTAACAATAAAACATTGGAATAAATTATTTCAATTAGATTAGTACTTGAAATCGGTAAAAGTTTTTCCTCAAAAGTCTGTTTTTCAGTTTATATTTTTATGTAGCTTTAGCCATAATTACAGAGATTTGAGTCAATCACAAAATAACCTAGATAAACTGGAAGGTTGTGATACAAAATAATATGATTTAAATATTGTATCAGGTTTTAAAAATATACATACATGGTAAAAATTAATACATAGAAGGATAAACATTTGGTTTGTGAATTTGTCCATTGTTAAAATAATACTTCTCTTTTTAAAATATCTGGATTGTTGGTGTTTTCCTTGTTGTACAGTGACAAGCAGTCCTATCTTGAACAAGTCGGGGGAAAGAGGGGATGGAAAGCCAGGAGACCACGACAGAGGGAGAAGTGAGTACAAGTGGGTGAAGGGGCAAGTATATGGCTGGCACCTGAGGCACCAGGTGCTGTTGGAGCTGGGATAGATTAAAGGGAGCATTTGGTGACCATAGGGTTCAACAAAAGCAGAAAGGAGGGAAAGCCATGGGAGCCAAGTTACTTAATGAGGATGCAGAAGGGGGCATCTGGATGTGGACTCAAGATCATAGAGAGGCCACGATGCTGAAAGTGACCTGAGCAGGGGAAGAGCAGGGCTTTGTGACACGTACTGGTGACCCGGAATGTGCACAGGCCTCAGGAAGAGGGTCCAGGTAGGTTAAAGGATGGGATAGAAGAATATGGGGTACACTGAGGGAGCACAGGAGTCCTATCTGAGGTGAGAGATTGGGAGGGACAGTGGTAGAGGGTCTGGGTAGAATGTAAGTCTTTTTCTTCTCCTCCAGTGCTTTCTTTAAACCCCCACACAGTTATTGCATATAAATTAGAACCTCAGATTCTGGGTAATTTTGCTAATTTGCCCCCAAGATTATGCTCCCTTGGGTTCATACCTGTATAAATTCCTCCTTTTGCTTCTGGACCTTTGGATGTGGTGGAATATCATTCTCTTCGTTATATGGTAATGGGGAAGGGGTTTTGCAGATGTCTTAAGGTCTCTAACTGGTTGATTACGAGATAGTAACAAGGGAGTTTTCCCAGAATAAGCATAACCTAATAAGGTGAGCCATTTTGAAGAGGATCTGCAGGTCAGAGACAGAAGATGTCAGAGAAACGTGAAGCCAGAGACAGTCTGCTGCTGGCCCTGAATATGTGAAGGGAGGAAAACCAATAAAAGTAACCTATCGGGGGTGGAGAGGAGTATTGAGTAGGTGGTAGGAGGAGGACACTTTTTTTTTGGTATACTCAATGAAATTAAGGTCAACAAGGATGAGTGGAAAAAAATTGAAAAACAAAGGAGCCTAACATCAAATAACTAGCATAATCATGAAATAAATAAATTCAAGTAATTTTTGAACATGGTGTTTTTACTATATACACTCAAGTAAAATACAGAAATACTTGCAAATTATCCTTATGCCTATTTGATTTTTTTTTCCCAGTGGTAAGGCATATTCTTATGCCTATTTGAATTTTTTTTCTATTTGATTTGGAAGTTTTTTTATGTATTTTATGATTATGTGATTAAATATTTAGGTTGTTCAGCCAAAGTTTTACCTGATAATGGAAAAAGGAGACACAAATATTTGAGGAAGAAGATATATGTCTTAGGGCATTGGATTGGAATTAGACTTAATTAAAATGAATCAATGATATGTATTCTTGTGCATGTGTGCAGACTTGCTATGTGCTTCCTGACCCTGTCCCCTGAAAGGGCCTAGAAGCAGGGATACCTCAGTCACAATGACAAATCACTCAAATACTAGTTTCTAAATTTTCACTCTCTGTGTTAGGAACTAGGCTTCCTTGGAGAAAGGTTTGATTGAGGTAGGCAAATAAACGATCGGTATTGAGGATGGAAAGTAGGTATCTTCTGCAAAGTAAGAAAGTACTCAAAAAAAGGGAGGGTTGGACTGGTGAAAAGGAAATGGGGTAGATCAAAGGGGCCCCTATTGGGGAGAACCACATCAGCAACATAATAAAAATAATGGATTTTTTAGCACATTGAAAGATTCACATATTCAAGCACATACGTGCCTCTATATGTGGAGGGAAATGAAACTCTCTTTATAGTAGAATAGTGACTAAAAACAGAATGGTAGGAAAAAGATCACTACTTAAAACTACCATAGTGAAAAAGGTTAGTGTTAAGTAAACACTTTAAGCATGTAATTGAAATTTACACCATCAGTGAAAAAAAATCATGTGAAGTATTGATACTGTGTAGCTACTGGTATAAATCACTGAGAAAGACCAAATGTCACTTGTGTAGTGTTCCTGAGAAATGAAAATAAAAAGAATGAGAATAACACGTAAACTAAATCTCACCATAAGAAAACAGAAGGAAACACCATTTTGAGAAATTGTGGTAAACAACTGGCTCATACCCTATAAAAATGACAATTTCCTTGAAGACAAAGCTGAAAAATGTTCTAGAGCACAGGAAAGTAGCAAGATCATTAAAAGCAATCTTTGATCCAAAATTGGATCCTAGAGATTGGAAAATTTAATAGCATTTATATTAGCACCAAAAGAAATAAAATACTTAGGATATGTTTAACATAAGTATAAGTAGATCTCTACTCTGAAAACAAAATATTTTGAAAGAAATAAAGTCTACTATAAAAAGAAAATTCTGAAACGCCATGAAAGTTATTATGGAGTGGGAGGTTTAATATTAGATGGCAGTTCTCCCAGATTTACCTACAGATTGTTATCTTTATCACAAATCCAACTGGCCCTAAAATGTACATGGAAATGCAAGGACCCAGAATAAACAAAACAATCTTGAAAGGAAAAATTGAGTACTCACATGTCTCTCTTTGAAGTATTACCACAAAGCATATTAATCACGACTCTAGCACTAGAATAATAGACTTCTTTTTAAGTGGACTAGAAGCAAGAGTTCAGAAATAAATCCTCATAGTCAATTTATTTTTGACAAATGTTTCAAGAATATTCAGTATAAGATATAATAGTTACTCTAACAAATGATACAGGAGCAACTAAGCATCCCATATACAAAGAAAAGAAATTGTACCCCTACCTAACCTAACATAAAAAAAAAAAAACCCAAATGGGTGAATTAGTTAAATATAAGAGCTAATGTCACAAACTCTTAGAAGAAAACAAAGACAAAATATTAGTGTTCTTGGGGGCACCTGGCTAGTTCAGTCAGAAGAGCATGTGACTTAATCCCAGGGTCATGAACTCCATATTGGGTGTACAGATTACTAAAAACAATAAAATCTATGATTAGGCAATATCAAAAACACATGCAGCAAAGAAAAAAATTGATAAATTGGGTTCATTGAAGTGAAAATGCTTGTGCTTCAAAGGACACTAACAAAGTTGAAAGACATCCCACATGATGGGAGAAAATAATGGCAGGGGATCCCTGGGTGGCTCAGCGGTTTAGCGCCTGCCTTTGGCCCAGGGCGTGATCCTGGAGTCCCTAGGATTGAGTCCCACGTCGGGCTCCCGGCATGGAGCCTGCTTCTCCCTCCTCCTGTGTCTCTGCCTGCCTGCCTGCCTGCCTGCCTCTCTCTCTCTCTCTCTCTCTCATAAATCTTAAAAGAAAATAATGGCAAATCAAAGATCTGATGAGAGTGTGGTATCCAGAATTCATAATTCTTAAAACTCAAAAATTGTCTAAATAATAATCCAAATTTAAAAGCAGGCAAAAACCTTGAAAAGATCTTTTTCCAGTCGAAAAGTGATCAGTAAGAATACAAAAAGATGCTCAAAATCATTAGTTATTCAGGAAACATGAATCAGAACTACAATGAGATACCTTCACACTGCCACTAGGATGGCTGCAAGACAGATGGTGAGTGTTTGAGAGGACGTGAAAAAGCCGGAACTCTCGTGCACTCCAGGTAGAAATGTAAAGTGGTGCAGCTGATGTGAAAGGCAGCCTGGCAGTCCCTCCTCAAAAGGATAAGAGTTACCATATACTCAGCAATTCCATTTCTATGGATATATCCATAATTGAGAACATGCTCACACAAAAATGTACATGTGAGTGTTCTTAGCAATTTTCATAATAGTCAAAAAAGTGGAGACACCCTTAATACCCATAAATTGAGAAATGAAACAGCAAAATGTGCCATGGTCATACAATGAAAAGTTACTCAACTATTAAAACAAGAATGAAATGCTGAATCTGTGCTCTTACATTGATGAACCTTGAAAGCATCATATTAAGTGGAAGAGGCCAGACACAAAAGATACACACCAGGTACTTGGTTCATATGAGATGTCCAGTTAGGCACACAGAGGCAGAGCAGATGAGTGGTTGTCAGGGACTGGGAGGAGGGGAGGAAGAGCGAATGACTGCTGATGGGCACAGAGCTTCTTGGAGGATGACAAAAATGTTCTGTAATTCGTGGTGATGCTAATAGAGCCTTGTGGATATACTAGAAACGCAGTTGAAAGAGTGAATTTTATGGAATGTGAATTCTACCTCAGTTGAAAAAGATGACACCAGCTGAAGAACCAGAATCATGGGATGACACATGCTTTCTTATGGAAGGAGATGATCTTGGAGCTGGGAGAGCGCAACAGGATACGAAATGTCCCCATGGCTGCCGAAGAAAGCAGTGGAGCCTGCAGGTCACCCATGGATTTAGGGCCCGGGAACGTCGGAGCAGCAGTGTAGGGTCCTCTGCGTGCAGCCTTCCTCCCTCCTAACTCCAGGAGTGGGGTCCACTAGCTCCCTAAAGAGTTAACTTCTCTCATTCTTGAAGTCATTATTTCTGACTTTTTCTCTAGGAACTCCCAACTCAAAAATGAAATGAGTAAAATAGGAGGCAATCCTGAACTTTTATTTGCCTGCTTGTTTTAGTTGTTGGCCAGAGGGGCAACACATCACCAGAGAGGAAGGTCATAGTATCATGACATACAGAATTTGGATGGAAGATGTTTGAAACATCGGCATCTTTTACATGATTTGCTACTAAATGTAGAAGCAGTCATGAGGCACCTTTTGGCTGCTTTCTTGTGGAAGGTGCACATCTGTTTTTGCAGAAATATAATATGGATGCAAGCAAGTCGGTGTAACAACAGTTCAGTAGAAATGTGACTCTGATCCATCTATCACCTCAACCATAAGCATCTGCCTCGAGGTTCCCTTTTTGGCTCTGTTAGAACCCCATCCCAGACACCATGGCTGCAGTTGGAATTGCCCCTCATTGAGAGTTGGCAGAAAATGTAATGGAGGACTGAGCATAGGGACTGAAGACTCACGAGCAGGGGCCACAGCCCCAAAAGAGCAGTTTCCTCTCTGTCTCCCAACACTGTGATGCCTTGGCATCTGCCTTATGGCCTAGTGCCTTAGTGGATGGGGACCTGAGGGACAGACACATCTGAAAACACCTTTTCTTGGCTCCTGTCACTCCAGGGTGCCAACCAATGATGGCATACTGTCTTCCTCATTCCCGTATTTGTGCTCACACACATCCACGACCAGCAGTGTGTCCTGGCTCCACTGTGTACCAGTCCTCACTGGGACTTCCAGCTCAGCGTATCGATCTTGTGCTGGGATATTGCATTTAAACGTTGAAAACACAGGTTCAGGTTTGTGAAGGTGTGTGTGCCTTTATATACCTGTGTATGTTCACATTTTATACCTAGCTGTTAACGACCTCCCGCCAAAGACTATCCGGAATGCACCTGCGATTGAACAAAAATTGGATTCATTACTCCTTTCATCTAGAGACAAACTTCAAAATGAGACTTTGGAATATTTCATTAAGAAGGTGTTAGAAGGGGGACACCTGGGTGGCTCAGCGGTTGAGCGTGATCCCAGGGTCCCGGGATTGAGTCCTACGTCGGGCTCACTGCATGGGGCCTGCTACTCCCTCTGCCTGTGTCTCTGCCTGCCCCCCCCCACCATGAATAAATAAAATCTTTTTTAAAAAGGTGGTAGAAGGGCCTTATTTTCACTTGTGTTAGTTATTTTGGGGAGTGAGTTAAAAGAAGCAGTGATTCAATCTAGATTATTCACTGTCAGAAGGCAGGGCTAATTGGTTAGTGTCTTAGGAAATCTCTGCGGAGGCATGAATAGAATAAGACAAGTGTCATTTGTAAAGAAACAGTCTTACATAGGCTAGGAGGGGGGAGTGGTGGTACTTTGTGGCTTGGGTGATGTTCATACTTTGTCGTGTCCAGACATCATAAGTGGGTGGAATGGTCTGTCTGCTGATCCATCAGGGTCATATGATGGTTTTAAGTGATGTTGATGTTCTGTGTCATCATTGCGGCTCCCCAGGAGCACACCACGACCTAGCAGAGGGTACCAGATCAGTCTGTGGGTGACGTGGTTTGCCTTTATCCTCTTTCTTCAATTTAAAAAGAAGTAGGAGCAGAGGTGAGCTGGAGGATTTGGGGTATTTGTTCTGGACTGTAGGTTTATGGTAAAACCAGAAGGGGAATATAAAAATCTGACTGAAAACAATGGAGCCACATGAACCTGAGTGCAGGAGGAAGGAGCTGGGCCCGGGGTTACAATGACCTTCAGCAGAGGGACAGCCAGTGCCAGGTGGCCCTTGAGCCTTGGTCCTTTCTCGTTAGGGATGATCCCTTCCCAGGATCTGCTCAGTTGGTCCCTCGCATTCCCTTGCATTGAGAACAGCTGTCCGGTGCTCCCTGCCCTCCAGCTCTCTCTCTGCACCCAACTCAGTCCCAGCTGCCAAATGCCAGCCCTGGACGATTTTAAGGCTGGAAAGTGTTGAGACTCCCTCACTGCCAGATGCTGTCTTGGAGAGGGTGGGAGAAAGACTGAACAGCGAGCCACACGCTCAGGTGTCACAGTGACTTCCCTGTGCCACATTGGAGAATATGCCCAATAGTAAGTGAACAATTTCTTCCATGAAAATCATTTTGTATGGAATGTTCATGACAGTGAAAAGTAGTTGAAATAAAAACTTAAAAAAATAAAAACTTAAACCCTTGGCTTTTCCTCTGAAAATCAATGGTGTAAACTGTACATGATGTGGCCGAATGAAATGACACTGCCCATGGGCTCAGCCTGGGCAGGGCCCGTGAGCGAGGGTGCTTGTTCAGGTCACATACTTGGGATGCTCAGTTGGCTTCGGAGTCGCTCTTCTCTGAGCTTGGGGGCTGTGTCTCCTAGAGAAAAGTTGTTTCAAAGGTTTATGTTTACCTTTGTGAAGCTAGTTTTTACCTGCTTTGAGGGGATCAATGGTAATTTTCTCCTTTAGGTAGACAAATCTCCTTTCTGTTTCCTGAACTTCTCTAGGTTTTTGATTCAAGAGAATAACAAGAGAAGATATGAGTAATTACTAAATCCTATTGAATGATCCTGTAGCATAATACAGGAACATGATGGTATTTTGTTATTGTCACTTTTGACTAGGAATTATATTTTAGAATATATTACAGGTTAGCAATTTTTTAGAGAACTAGGATAGTGGAAAAATATAAATGTATCTCTTAATTTATGTATGATGTCCATTGGTGATTCATGTGGTAATATGTGGATTCTTATGTTCCAGTCAAAGAATAAAATAATTCTATTTTAAACTTCTTAGGGTCTGTCTTCTGGCCATATTTCATACTGGGCTCATTCATGCACTACAGAACTGTGAATGTTTAGGGAAACTTTTCCAAAACAATTAAAATTGAGTAATTACATAAAATTATATTTAAATATAAGCATTTATTATGAAATTTGAAATAGTATAAACACAAATATTTTTATGGCATGGGCCAAATGTCGATGAAAATAGTAGATAGTATCTTGAATATTCAAATAAAACACTCTCTACCAGAAAATGATATATTTACAGTGTGCCATAGTGTGCACCACTTAACATTTCAAGTGAGAACTTCAACTAGTATTAGGAACTCTTCATAAATATAGAGTGAATAGTAATCATTTTATTATGTGGAAAATGAAGAGACATTAAACTATAACTTCCAGATATTTCATTCTTTTGAAAATACAGTTTTTAAAAAGTTAATTAGCATAGTGGATTTTTAGGGCAGTTAAAATATTCTGAATGATGCTATAATGATGGGTTTATGTTGTTAAACATTTGTCCAAACCCACAGAATGTACAACAGCAGAGTGAACCCTGAGGTAACTGTGGGCTTTGGGTGATGATGTTGTGTCATGTGGGTCTGTCCTTGGTAAAAAAACAAAAACAAAAACCCTACCCTCTGGTGAGGGATGCTGATAGCCGAGGAGGCTGTGTGTGTGCAGAGGCAGGCAGTAGAGGGGAAATCTCTGTACCGTCCCCTCAATTTTGTTATAAACCTAAAGCTGCTCTGAGCAAATACTTGAAAAGTGAAAGCTTCCTTCCATGAAAATCATTTTGTATGGAATGTTCATGACCATGAAAAGTGAACCAGAAAATGCCAAGCCTTTAAGAACATCACTTTCTTTGTTGGCCAAACAATGTCTCACGTAACTTCTATATAGATATTTTTGAGAAACTTAGCATTCCACTAAAATTGTATTGGCATTATATGTTATATCAAACTAACAAATTAGTAGTGTAGAATACATTAATAGTACTTCATAATTTGATATTAATAAAGTGCAATTGTTTTAGTAATTACTGAATAATCTAGTAGTATAGTATAAGCATAGATTATATATAGTGTTATTGAAACTGATACTTCTATGTTTACCATTAGAATATTTTGTTATAATTGAATGTTTTCACTACTATATAAATAATATTGCAGTTATTATATTATTATTCAGATTCACCCTTCCATTTTAATATTAGATGTTTTATCATAGTTTAGTTCTACCAAAATCTTCTCATTGGTTTTTCTTTTGAATTTCAGACATGACTGTGGTCAGCCTGCCATGGAATCCTGCTGTTCTGAAATCTGAGGTTCCCACTGCCTGGGTGCTGCAGGAGGAATTGTAACTTTGTTTCACCCCAGTCATATTTGATTCTTAATATTTTAATTAAAACAATTTTTAAATTTGAAAATCCCTAAGAATATTCTCTTCACTAAATGGTATGGATTGGTGTGGATTAACTACAGTTCTCGTTTACTCCAGAGATGCTTTTCAGAACTCTTCCATATACGTGTAGTCGTGAATCACTAGTTGGTGACCTTTCTCTGGGCTATAGTTTTCCCCTAAAGAACAGCTGTGGAATTTATCTTCAAGAACTTATAAGCTGAGTAAGGGATGCCTTTGCATTTTAAATATAATGTCAGTATTAATCAGCCAAGGACTGCCTTCCTCCATGGAAAAGACTAGAAACTGGGTGATTGTTCTTGCCATAGTTCAGGCTGATGTACTCAAACTAGGACTGGGCTGGGTAGTGTGATGAGGGTCACTGAGGAGTGGGTGAGGGAAACTTGTGTACTCAAATGGCTTTTTCTCTGAGTTGGGAACACCAGAACAGTTTTGGAGACTGGTACCTGTCATTCAACATCTGACATGTTTAGATTTTAAGGATCTCCAGGTCTTAACAGGTCTTGCAGAGGAAATCTTCAGAGGATTTGAGGACCCATTTTCTTATTGGGGAGGTTTTGTCCGTATGCAACTCTACTGTGAGGTGATGAGACAGTAAACAGCATTGGTTTCTGTGTGTCATCAGAGGACCCAGAGCTAGGTGACAGAGGATCACGATGCACAGTAACGAAGTGCAACAAGAGTACAGAACGTCTGTGAGCTAAATATTCTTAACCTGTTGTCGTTGAATTTACAAGTCAGCTACGTCTTTAAGGGTGTCCCACTGCCTATCCTCCCACGGCCTTAGCTATGGCACTAAGGGAGTTGATGTGGGCTGCTGGCAAGAGGAGTCAGGCAGCTCTCAGGGCTCCTGAGGTGGCCACAACCCTGAAACTAGTCAGTCTGCCAGGGCCTTTCTGTGATGAACCAACCACATTTTACAGAGATTCTAAGGCAGCAACAACTCTCAGGGAGGTTTTCATTCCCTGCAGACAGCTCCCCAGTAACATGTGGTGAAACCTAGAAACCAGGTGCCTCACACAGATTCATCATGCTAGGCTCTGGGAGAGAGTCTTTGTTTTTTTGCTGTCACACCAGCAATTGCCTCTAAGAGATGCTTTAATACATATGGCAAGATTGGAAAAAAGTTTTCCCTTGGAATTCTTCTGGGTTTTTGTTTTGGAGGTAAAATGACTAGGTTTAACTTTTTGTATGACTCTGCCCATCTCTTGAGTATGACAAAAAAAAAAAAAAACCTCTAGAACTCTAGAAAGAAAACACTGAGGGGTGACATATGCAAGATGGAGAGCTAGAAGGTCCCAGTGCCCATTTCTCCCACAAAAACAACAAATAACTACAAACTGACAAAGCTCTGAAAAAGCTTTGCACTATGACAAGCAGCAAAAACCTTGCAGGGCTCAAACCCCAAGGATAGTGGCATGAAAAGTTCAGGAAGTGTTTTAGCAGGGTAGCCCCATTCATGAGTCCAGAGCAGCTCAGCAGCAGGAGGGGGCCCCAGAGGAGTTCCACCCTACATGGGAAAGGAAGAACAAGCCTACCACTGGGGACATTTGTGGCCTTTGCTTCTAGGTCTCCCACAGTCTTCATCACAGTTGACCCCAGCTGACAATTGTCACAACTGTGAGACATGCCCTCGGGCTCCTGTTGCTGTTGTGCCCTGTTCCCAGGACTGGGATGTGACGTGCATGTATGGAACCTGAGCTGCCACTGCTCTGAGCGTCCCCAACACCAGAGCATCCTCCCCTGTTCCCCACCCATGATTCCCAAGCCACACCTTGACCATCATTACCCTTGGCCCTCTGCCACTGCCCTGCGCCCCACCCCCAGGCCTGGCCACAGAAGAATAATTGCCAGCGCAGGCACTGCCATTCGTTATTGGTAACCAAAATAGAAAAGCCTTTCTGGTGGTCGTAAGTTAATATAAATCAAAAGTTCATTTCTGTTAGGCAAATACTGAGCTCCTTTTTTGTGCTAGGTATTTCTGTATGCTGATGACAGAGGCCCACACTTACTCTCAATGGGCAAGCATGCCCTGTGTGGGAGACCGACACAGAGAGCTCTGTCATCAGGAGGTGGATGGCAGAGACATCCACCACATGCGGCAAAGGCAGGAGTACGACCAGAGGTCGGCTTAAAGAGTTTGGAAGAATGATTTGAAGAAATGGTCCTCAGCAGATTCTCAAAGCATGATTAGAAGCTAATTGGATCAAGATGGGCAACGAGAAGAGAAGGGAAGGTGATCTCTGCAAAAGGTGGAGGAGCATGGACACCAGCATGGAGTCTGCAAGAAGGCCTGCAGCATGGAGTGTGGGGCAGAGCGGTCAATGAGGAGGCTGCAGAGGGAGCCCCCCTAGCCCCTGCTTGCATAGCCCAGACTTCACCCCAGAAGCAGCATAAGGTCCAGACCCAGGAAAAGGACATCATTAGAGATGTATTTTTTTTAAATCCTGCATAAAAGTCACTGTGGTTTATGTCTCAAATTTAAAAAGTAACAGATGGAAACAAATGACCCACTTAAAAATCGGGCAGAGGCCTTGAACAGACATTTCTCCAAAGAAGATGTACAAACAGCCAATAACTGAAGAAATGCTCAACATCACTAGTCCTGAGTGATGTGCAAATTAAAACGACTGTGAGATGCCACTTGACACCCATTAGGATGGCTAATGTTAAAAAAATTATAAATGTTGTTGAGGATATGGGCATTGCCCATGGGGTTGTAAAATGGTATGACACTTCCCCCGTGGAAAGCAGTTCAGCAGTCCTCAAAAGGTTTTTTTGTTTTTTTGTTTTTTGTTTTTGTTTTTCCCTCAAAAGGTTAAATGTGGAATTACCACATGAGCCCAACAATTCCACTCCTAGGTATATACCCCAAATAATTGAAAGCGGGGAGTCAGACACTTACACAGCAATGTTCATAGCAACATTGTCTGCAGTTAAAAGGTAGAAACAACCCAAATGTTCATCAACCACGGATGAATGGATAAACGAAATGTATGTACGTGCAGTGGAAAACTATGCAGCCCCCACAAGAGATGAAATTCTGACATAAGTTAGTTAGAACCTGGGTAAACCTTGAAAACATTTTGCTAAGTGAAGTCAGCCAACCATGGAAGGAGGAATACTGTATGATTCCACTTACACGAGGTAAGTAGTCAAATTCACAGGTGCGGAAAATAGAGGTTCCCGGAGGCAGGGGGCCTTCGGGAGTCTGGGATGATGATAAAGTTCTGGAATTGGAGAGTGGTGATGGTTACCCAGCAGTGTGAATGTACTTCAGCGGCATTGCCGCTGAATTATACACTTAAAAATGATCAAGATGGTAAGTAAGTTTTGTTATACATATTTTACCACAGTTATTAAAAAACAGGAGAGAGAGAAAAGACTTATCTACAAATTGAAGGGACACATGGATGGAGGATGCCTATTGTTTGTGAAGGACAAAGGGGTGGGGCATCCTGAGAAAGCCTGAGATCCCCTTTCCACAGTCAAGGTCAGAGAAGCCCTGACCCACAGCCCAGCAAAGAAGTCATGGTTTATGTCCGCCTCCAGACAACTGAGAGGTGCTGTGTCCTGTTAACTCCAGTAACAAAATCTGTCGATCAATCAATCAATCCAAGAAACCACTTAAATTTGATAGCATAGTGTTTGGTGCAAGTGTTGGGGTGCTCATCTGAGACAGAGTGTGTGCTGTGGGACCGTGTGGGCAAGTGGTTTGGAAGTTTAAAGATCTACATAAGCGTGTCCTTATGATTTAGCATATTTATTCCTGGTTCAGTTCCAACAAAACTTCTTCCATATGGTCTCCAAAAGACATGCACAAGATTATTCGCTACAATATTCACATCATGCCCACTAAGAAAAAATGGGTATGCAAATGTGAACAGTCAGCAGAGTATGAAGCAGCAATGTGAATTCATCTACAAATCAACCAGTGATTAGAACAAATTTGACAGACATAACGTGAAGCCACACACAAAAGGGCACATACTCTGCGAATTCCAAACTTAACAGAATTAATCTGTGCTCTCAGAAGTGGTGGGAAGGGCTACCTTTGGGGTGATATAGACCAATGGGGTGCCCAGGGGTCGAGTGGCAGGTACCGGTCACGTCTGCTGCTTAAACTGGTCACGAGTTGCGGTGGATTCAGGTTGCAAACCTACATCAAGTGTCTCAATTTCAACAAAAAATTTTTGAAGAAGTGGAGACAAGTTTTCAGAATGCTTGAAAGAATTCCCAAGTGGTATGAGGCAGGGCTGTAGGGTCTCTGGATATAAAGCAGATCTAGCCAGCTGCACACTCTGATGGCCCTGAAGATTGTCAGGGGACCAGGAGGACCCACAGAACTGGCCCCAGTGTCTCCAGATGCACATCCATATGAACAGGAGCTAGGCACTGAAGCAGCCTCCCCCCTGGTTTTTCTCCCCTACCTGGGCCTCCAGAGGTGAGCCAGGGTCTTTTCCTGGCTGCCTCCTCTTCTACTAAGGAGCAGTGTGATTGTTCGTGTTGGATAAAAGCCCACCCTGGTAAAATGCAGTTTTAAGGGATTTGATAAAATTTATTGTCAAATTAGTACTTTCAAAAAGGTTTGATGGTTAAAAGGTTAGTATTTTCTGTTTTATTGTTCTTCTCGAAATAAGGAATTATTTCTGTTTTGTTCTTCCCGAAATAAGGAATAATGTTCTTCCCGAAATAAGGAATTTCTCTGAATTTTTTCAGTAATTTCTTTGCTAGACTGTAGTCGCTCAGTAACTGGAGATCCTGCCTCATTGCTGGGGAAGAGAACCTGTGGTCTCCCCATTCTGTTTCTGGCTTCCACACTTGACTTAGGTCTCTGCACCACTCTCCCTTTTCTCTCACCCACATCATCATTTCTTTAACGCAGAAATCCTTTTCCTGTGTCGGGTCTGTGCGTTGTTGACTCAGACATTGTCCTAATGA